TTCCTCTCTCTCTTCTTCCTTCTTTCCTTCTTTCCTTCTTTCCTTCTTTCCTTCTTTCCTTCTTTCCTTCTTTCCTTCTTTCCTTCTTTCTTTCCTTCCTTCCCTTTCTCCTCCCTCCCTCCCATTTTCCATCCATCCACCCATCCGTCCATCCGTCCATCCAAAGGCCCACCCCAAGCTGCCCACCTTCCACCCTGCTTCCATGAGAAGGACTTGCACCTGATCTGCCCTGCCATAGCCACACTCCCAGCCCAATGAAATCACTCCTTCCTGCACATGCACAGCATGCATTGCTCTTTTCTCCCCCGAGAACAGCAACAGTTCCCCTGAGGTGCTAGTTTTCTATCTGCGGGGATATACATTTGGAAAGAGGATCATTCTGTCATCGGAATGGGCTCTTGATGGGGGTGGGCACCTCTGGATACACTCAATACTAAAACTGTGTTTCTGCAACAAACTAGGCTGGAGTGGCACTGATCAGGATTTGTTTTCTAAGTCTCATCGAATGGTCCCAAACCCAGAGAATGTGTTAAATCAGCAACTCTCTTAAAATCGCTGCTGCAACCAGGAATTCAGATTTAGATTCCCACCTCTTGGTTTAGACAAAACACATTTGGTTAGTTTGTGATTCAGTGCGCTGGAAGAACTTACTTGTTTTAGCGTACGGTGTACATATCATAATAGGATGCATTTATTTGGGGAAATACATTACATGAACCCAGCAATAGCATGTTATGATCCCGGCTTATGTTAGATAAACCCACTTATTAACTTCTTTTTTCTTTCTCTCCTTTCCCTCTTTTTTCTTCTGATTTTACATGGAGAAAAGCACCCCCCCTTTAACCGTCAAGAACGATAAACGGTCAACTGTGTGAATCATCTCCACCCATTCATTCCTCTTGCCATTTCCTCAACTTGCAGGGCCAAAATTAATCTGACCTCTATTCTCCCTTCTCCCCATCTCTGCAGTTTGTGAAATGTGGTTATGCCGGTTCGAATTTTCCCGAGCACATTTTCCCGGCTCTGGTGGGACGTCCGATTATTCGGTCCAGCGTTAAGGTTGGCAATATCGAAATCAAGGTGAGTGATGCTTAGGAGGGGGGCATGGGGGGGTTGTTCCTTTTCCAATGGCCAAACTGTGCTTTGTGACTTGTGCCGAAAGCAGGCGATTTAATAACATTTGCATTCTTTGTTTTATTCGGTGTTATTTCGCAACCGGCCCACGAGAGCCACCGGCCCACCATAAGATTGTATAAAGGCTTTCAGTTTATTACACAAAATGGGTTGTAATTTGTAGCGGTCTGGGTTTTTTCCCACTTACCGGTGTTTTCTGGACATGGGCCGTAATAATCTGCTTATCTGCCTATACGGTATATCCACCCATCTGTTTACCTACCTGTCAGCCCTTCGAGGTAGGCCAGGTGATGAAACAGACTCCACCAGAAATACTGGGACTCTACTTTATCAGTGTCGGTCAGTGTTTCTCAACCTTGGCAACTTTAAGATGGGTGGACTTCTGGCTGGCTGGGGAACTCTG